CGTAAAAAATAAATTACCATAATAACCCTGAAACCTTTAAAGGATATTTTGATCAATTTATATTTTGTAAATTATTTTTAAATATTTTTATTAGGTGCGCATTGATGAGAAGAATAAATTTCTAGAATTTCACACGATTTGGATTTGTAGAAAAATTAAAATTAAAATATAAAATGAAGTCGTGCCTGTCAAATCAGCCCAGATTGTTGGGTCTGTATGTAGCTGTAAGTTAGTGGGCATACACCAGCATTTCCATTTATATATAACGTAATATGATATATAATATAGTGCATTTTATATTTATTTTATTAATGAACGTTTGTATTATATATTATATACATAAATATATACTATATAAAATACAAATATATATTAATAATTTAAATATAAATATATTTTATAATATATAATATATATTATATTTATATATAATGTAATATAATATATAATATCGGTATTTTAAATTTATTTTATTAGTGAACATTTGTATTATATATAATATAAAATATAATAAATTATTTAATGAGTATTTATTTGTATTATATAATATACCTAAAAATTATATAATATAATATAAATACATATATAAATTAACAATATAAATAGAAATATAAGGAGGGAGGTAGAATAGTCCATCATTTTAGATGAAACTTCTATTTTTAAGCACTAGGGAGTAAGGAAGTTATAGGGGGAACTTATTTACTATATAAGTTCTATGCATCAAACACAAAACTTGTGGGAAGTTCCTTCTTCCTCCCCTAGCTTCTTGTTATCAAACATATCTTAAAACACCATGCTGACAAGGGTTGGCAATGGGCCACTTAGCCCGACCTGGCTCGATGCATTCTGTCTTGGTCGGCCCGACTCTAAAAAGTAGGGCATGAGCTATGAATTGCGGCTCATGCCCTAAAAAAAAATAGGACTTGGGCTACGACTTGTGAAGCTAGCCCGATTTTTTTATTTCCTTATTTTTTTTATGGGTACGCCTAGGCTCTAAACGATCAAAATAGAGCCTATCTCAATAAATTTCATTAAAAGAGGTTCTTTTGATGCTCAAATATTATCAAATTGATCATCTCAATATCAAGATGCATAGAAAAGAATAAAAATGGATTTTAAGCTTAAAAAATAACGGATTTTGTAACTCATTTACTGGCCTTCAATTTTCAAGTTTTTATAGATTTATTTGATCGAAGCTTTAAAATTTATAATTAAAGGTGAAAGTACATTTTAAGGTTACGACAAAATTTTTTAGTATCGAATATCTCGGCATTATTTGAAGGTGGGCTCTAATTCCATGACCATACAAAGTACGGCCTTTTTTTTTATAGTTTCATTTATTTTAGCCCCCGCCCGTCGCCACCCGTATGCTGACCATAGGTAAGAATACTGCTTCCATGTGAGAGAGGGAGAGAAGAAGCTCTTGAGCTGAGGTGGAGGCATCCTCGGGTTGAAAGGAAAGGGGGAGGGTGATGATATACAGGTGGGTTTTGGGTCGGTCCTTTTCTGCAGGGGCAAAAGGAGAGAGAGAGAGTTTGGGGAAGAGGCTGTTGAGGCGGCTTGTCTTTCCAAAGAGGAGCGCAGTTGTGGCCCTAAGGCAGTGGGCTGAGGACCAAAATAACAATCTCCTCCCCCAAAAATATGAGCTCAACCGTATCACCAGGCTGCTTCGCAACCACCGCAGGTACAAGCACGCCCTAGAGGTCAGCTCATTCTCTCTCTCGAAACCTTCTCTTTCTGTATCGACCTGCACTCTTTACGTTTTGTTGTCCGTTTGGACCTTTGGGGCATCACTTATTTTCAGTCGTTCTTTGTTCTTTATTATACTTCTTTTGTCTATGTAAATATGCGTCATGATCTTTGTTGATGTAATCCCTTTTTTCACTAAACATATTCTATTCTCACTAATTCCCACTTCGTCTGTACCATTTGATACTTGATTACCATTGGGCGCTTCCTCTTGCTGCATATCTCTACAATGTGACATGGTGCTTGTGTCCAATTCATCATAGGCGATGTAGGGCATCCATGACAATAGCCCTTTCGAAAATCATATAAAATCAATCGATCAATTCGACCAGCATCCAGCCATGTCCACTCGGGCTTGGCCCCATGCCAAGCAGAGTGCCCCATGCCAAGCAGAGTGCTTGAGCACAAACTTGGGAAATATAAAAAAAATATAAAAATCAGAAATTATTTTATTTTATTGGTAAAATTGATGTATAAATCTTGAATATGTCATTTTGATTTTTTTGGTGTTGATATGCAAGTTTTTCTCATATGCCATACTTTTTTTATTTTTCCCTTTTTTTGGATTTTTTTGAAATGTTTCGAGCTATAAATCAATTTTTTATAAATCCATCTTTTGTATATGTTTTTGGGAAAATTACAAAAACCACCCTAAAATGGACTACCTATGCAACTTACCCCACCCCAATTTTTTCTCACACTTTTTTCTCCCAAACAACCTTTCCTCGCAAAAACCCCCCAACCCAAAAGTAACATAAATAAGACTAAAATACCCACATTTCTTTTCACACGGCCTTCTCTCTCCTCTTCCCCACACGCTCAGGCATACCGATACCTCGCTCCGGCGGTGCTACTACACGTTCCGGCAGTCTGCTCTGGCAATGAAGCCTCTGGAGCCACAACGCTCCGGCAATGAAGCCTCTGGAGCCACAACGTTCCGGCAATGGAGGACTGCGATCCGGCAGTCCGAATGTGCACTTTGGCAGTCACAATGTGCGCTTCTTGACATTCCACTCCGGCAGTAGCATACTGCGCTCCGGCACTACTCTACTTGGGATCGCAATTTGATTTTGTTTGTACGGGAAGGGCATTTCCATCCAAAAATTAAGAACTTTTTACCATGGGGGTGTTTTTACTCGGAAAGGTTGTTCGGGGGAAAAAAGTGTGAGAAAAAGTTGGGATGGGGGTAAGTTGCATAGATAGTTCATTTTAGAGTGTATTTTGTAGTTTTTCCTATGTTTTTCCATCTTATTTGGAATTTTAATGTTTTTTTATTGTTTACTTTGCCTTTTACTCTTATTTTTTATGTTTAACAAATATATAATTTTTTAATTTTTTCCGTTTTAGGGTCCGTACACTACTCGGGCAAAGTCTGAGACTCGCTCAAGTAACTTGGTTCGGGCAGGGAGCCAAGTCCCAAGCCTAGTTTTCAAACCTTCAATTTGACTGATAGCTATTCATTTATCAAAACGTTATTCCTATTTGTGGGTATCACAATAGATAAAGGAGGCTACATGGGCTAATAGACTGGATTTCCATTGATTAACAATCTCATCACATTCAAATAGGGTCCGTCTTTGTTTATATTCCCAGCTACATGGGCTAAAAGACTGGATTGCCATTGATTAACAATCGCATCACGTTCAAAATTTCAAATAGGGTCCCTGTTTGATTATATTCCCCTAGGTTCCCTGCAACTTCATGCCTTAGTATATTAGGACAGAAGGGAATGGATTCAATGGCCCAATACATATCTTTCGGGTAAGTTTGCTTCCCCACTTGCATTTAAAATATTACTGACGAATGTTCAATTTGTCCCTGCTTAAGTCATTTTACTTTAGATTTTTTGCAGAAATTTGTTTTCTTTCTTTACAATAGCTTCTATCTTCACTATCATTTCACGGACCAGAACTTTTATACTTGTCATTGCTAAAAAGTAAGTTGTGTTATTCCCCACCCCCACCAATTATGGAGTCCTCATGGAATGGGTATCCCAAAGGCTTCGGGCCACTAGCTCTACACCATATGGATTTGAGCATTCATGGATTCTGCCTGATGATATTTGTCCAAATCTAAAAAGAAAAAGAAAAAAAGAAAAATAGGAACTGTACTACTAAATCTCTTAGCCTCCTAGGAGTGGTGTTTGATGGTCATAGCTGTTTGTCATCATTATCTGAGCCTTATCCCAACTATTTGGGATAGGCTGGTGGTCACAATCATTGATTTTAGATAATTAGCTTACAACTATTGAAAGAGGTAGCCAACTGCCGTCGCCTAAACAATTCCATCTCTACAATAAAGGTGGGGAACAAGATTTTGGACTAGACCTCTGAGATTGAAGAAGCCATTCTCTCCTTCTTCAAAACCCTCTACATTGCTCCCTTGGGTCCCAAACACAGGATGTCTGACCTACAGTTTCTCTCCATCTTAGACCTTTGGGTCCCATGGTTGGAACGGCCATTTACAAAACTTGAAATCCTTGCAGCTTTAGCTGACTTGGGTAAAGATAAAGCCTCGGGTTCGGATGGGTTCCCAGTGGCCCCCTTCAAGCTCTTCTAGGACTCTTTCTGACCTGGCTTTTTGAATTTCTTTGAAGAATTCTTCCACTGGGGTGTTATCCACAAAGCCATGAATGCAACATTTATCGCCCTTGTCCCCAAAATCGAAGGGCTTGAAGAACTAGAGGACTTCCGACTGATTAGTTTAGTAAACTCCACTTATAAGATCCTATCCAAAGTGCTTGCTTCTAGGCTTAAAGAGGTCCTCCCCTTCGTGATCTCCCTCTCTCAGGGTGCCTTCATCAAAGATAGGTAGATCCTTGATGGGGTTCTGGTGGCACATGAATGCATGCATTCTAGGCACATAGCCAGATAACCGGGTATTATTTTCAAGATCAATTGGGAAAAGGCATATGACCATGTTGATTGGGACCACCTGGTCCGGATGGGTTTTGGGTGCGATGGAGGCAGTAGATGAGAGGCTGTTATTCTCGGCCTTTCTTCTCAGTGCTCATCAATGGAGCTCCAAAAGGCTACTGCCCATCCTCTAGAGGTCTCCGACAAGGAGATCCTCTATCCCCCTTCCTCTTTGCGATTTCAGTGGAGGACTTCAGCCAATCAATTTCTTGTATATACCAGTCGGGTCTCTTGACTAGCTTCAAGAGTAGCTGTAGCGGTCCTATCGTCTCCCATCTTCAGTATGCTGACAACACCCTCCTCTTTTTAAATGGTGATTCGAAGGAAATTGAGACACTACGCTTCTTCCTTAAATGCTTTGAGTTTGCCATGGGCTTTTAAGTCAACATGGAGAAATCGACTATGATAGGGGTCGCTCTCACTATGTCAGAAACAAGAGCTCTCATTCCTAATTGGGAGTTTAAAGTGGAAGAACTTCCTATCAGTTACCTTGGCATGCCACTGGACCTCGGCAAACCTAAAAAGATGCAGTGATCCCACATCATCGACAAAGTTGATAGACGTCTTGCTGGATGGAAAGGAAGGTTCCTTTCTTTTGTAGGGAGATTCACTCTCTTCAAGGCGACCCTGGCTGATACCCCTATGTACCTTATGTCCTTGTTCCACATGCCAGCGGCGGTTGGTAGCCGTCGAGAATAGTTAATGAGGAACCTCCTATGGACAGGAGTTGTTGATGCCAAAAAATATCACCTTATTTCTTGGGAAAAATTTTGCCAACCCAAACACCTTGGTGGACTCAGTATCTGAATCCTAAGGAAACAAAACACCGCGTTGCTCGCTACTCAAAGCAACCTGCTTTGGTCCCAAGTCATCAGCTGCAAATACAAAATCCCCTCCAATACTTGGCTGTCGGAAGGGAGAACCCCGAGCAGAGCATCTGGGGCTTGGAAGTTTTTCATGTCTTCTCTCACTCTCTTCCAAAAAATATTCGTTTCCACCCTTGGGAAGGCCATCGCATCCGCTTTTGGTCCAATCGCTGGTTGGGCCACACTCCACTTAAGGACCTTTTCCCCTCAATTTTCTCTCTAGCGACCAACAAGTCCTCTTCAATCGCAGTCGAGATGCCCCTTTCGGGCAACATTAGAGTCTGGAATCCGTCTTTCAGACGCCCTCTCTTTGATCCTAAAACCTTAGACTTCCTTTCCTTGTCTTCCTTTTTGCATTCCAACTTCCTAACCCTTTTTGGGCCTGACCGCTTGGTTTGGATCTCTTCTCCTTCAGGTTCCTTCTCGGTGGCTTCCTACTACAAGAAACTTTTCTTGCCACCCACTTTTCCCCTTTCTCCGAGATCAGTTGTTGCTCAGGTGTGGTCCTCTATACCCCCCCCCCCCCTAAAGTGCAAGCCTTCAATTGGATTGCATGCTCCGAAAAAGACTTTACTGTGGATCATCTTCAACAGAGGGGAATTCCCATTCCCAATCGTTGCGGGATGTGTACCAGTGAGGAAGAGAGCAACCCCCGCCTTTTTATTCACTGCGGACTTGCCCACAATCTGTGGAGGTTACTCCTCTGAACCTTTCGAGGGACACTCCGTGGCCTATTGTAGGCAGGCTCCTTTGGAAAACCTCCATTGCAGCCATGATCCGGGTCATCTGGATGGAGAGAAATTCGAGGGAGGACCAAGTGCAAAGCCCTGGCCCTGTTCCATAAAATCACCTTGGAGGTCGCTTTTTGGGCCTCCATCCACAAGACCTTCAGAGGTGTCTCGGCCACTACCTTCCTACACCATTGGAAAGACATTCTCCACACCCAATTGCCCTGGGTCTCAGATACTGCAGCCTTACAAAGCTTAACTTCAATGGGTACTCCAGTGGAAATCCCAGTTCGGCAGGGGTGGGTGGGGTCTTCCGCGACCACCTCGCAACTTACTTGCCTCTTTCTCCAAGAACATAGGCCACTCCAACTCCCAACTTACTGAGTCCATGGCACTCCTCACCAGTCTCAAGCTCTTTGACCCCTCGTGGGGTGAACCACTAATT